AGCAGCAGCGGCGCCGGCGGCAATAGAAGCAGCGGCGGCGGCGGCAGCAGCAGCAGCAATCACCTGGTCTCCGGGCTTTCCTAGAAACTCCTTGCATCACCACTTCTAAGAACCCCAGTTCTAAGAATCAACAGAGCTCAATTCTCGGAATTTGAGCGGCCGACTCTACCACTGCGCCCAGCCCAGGGGAGGCCACAGGGCACCTTTCCTCCTTCGCTCCCCTCCCCTCCCGAATCCCCCCTGCCTGCCCCTTGTCCACGACCGCCGCGACCCTCCGCAGCGTTCCCCGCCGGGACCTCCACCCAGCAGCGGCGCGACGAGGGGGGCTTGCAGCCAGGGGCAAGAGCTGTGACGTCGGGGCGGCTTCACTGTTGCAGAGTTCGGCCCCTGGAATTCTGAGAACTAATTTGCTATTCGGTGACATAAGAGAGATCCGGGGCTGAGGCCACCCCGCTCTCGGTCGTGAAAGCCCCACAAGCACCACCGGCCTCCTCGCAACACACCACAGCCCCTCAGCCCCCCAGCCAAAAAGCCTTTCAAATGTAGGGAGCTAGGCGAGAGGGGTGGGGGAGGGGGGAAAGAGAGGATTTCATAACGCAGGAGGAGAGAGAAACAAAACAAAATCCTCAATAAAATGCAGGAGGAGGAGGAGGCAGATCAAATCTCAGGGCAGAGTCAGGAAGGAGGCAAGACACAGACTCGCTTAATGTTATTTTTGCATCTGCTTTGGCAAGCTTCTCCTTTAAAAAGATCCCGGGATCCTGCCGCCTTGGAATCTTTAACAAAATATGTCCAGCCTTTTTTGTACCCACCTCTCTGTGGCTCTCACGATCGTACATGGGATTTACTGTTGATGAAAGAAGCTTATTTTTCCCCCATGCAGACCTTTGGGGGAGGGGGTTTTCCCCATTAAAAAAAATTTTTTTTTGGCGTTGCGTTTTCAATGTGAGGAATATCCTTGCTCTTGAAAAGAAAAATACTCGGAGGATTATGTTTTCTTTTGGTCCTTTTTTTTTAACTTCCCTTTCCAGGACTCTGAAGTGGTGGGTTTATTCTTTGCCGTGGTTGTCATTGTTGCCGATTCGTGCAAAACAGATTGTAAACAGTGTGTCAATACAGAGCTGCCTCTGTGTAGATGCCAATGTCTAGCTATGGTGGTGTGCAATTTTTTGTTATGCTGTGTTTTTTTTAAAGTAGCTGTGGACTGTGTGTTTCCGGGGGGAACTGTAAAGGCCCATTTTTATCAGTGGAGACTTCAGCCAGCAGTGAAAATGTAAAACCTTCCAATCTATGCTACTGAGAGAGTTGCTGGTGTGTGTAGTGGGCATTGGAGCGGGGGAGGGCAGATTGCAAACACATTATTATAAGGAAGCTATAGCCTATTTATTTTCGCTGTGAGTTCACTCAGGCCTGGTCTGAGTGAGTACCTGTCAGCTGATTACTACTGCAATTATTTATTTCCCCCTGATCCTTTAGGGATAAGAGGATCCAGTATTTCTTGTGGCTACTTACACATAACCTAGAGGAAGGGGGTGGAGAGCCTTGTGTATGGTGGAGTGATGGTTTATCATGTTTATAACAATTAATGGAAATTTGTTCACCGGAATAACCATCACAGGGTCACAGTGCCCTAGCTCCAGCTAATGCAATTGCTTAGAGCTACTTATTAAATTACAAATGAATTCCACCCTAACCCTAAGATATTATTGACCATTCTATGTTGCATTTTTTTATTTTGCAGCAAAATTCTTGAATTAAAATGCTCAGAACTGCTAAGGAGCAGGGGAAAAAAAGGAGATCCTTACTACTAACACTTCATGTCTATGATTTAAAATAGCCCAATAGCAAGGCAGGTTTTGAAATGATACAGCTAATGCTTTAGAGATGCCTTCCCTGTAGTTAAAAAGTAATACATAATTCAACGTGAATGAGCATAGCTTTACTTAGATTGTAAGAGCTCCGGGACAGGGAAGATGTGTTAATCTGTGTTTGTCCTGTTTATCTGTGTTTGCAAAGAGCAGTGTAAACGAATGGTGCTATATAAATTGGTTTAATAACAAATAATAGAGAGATGATAATAACTGGGCATTTGTTTCCCTAGGAGATGGAATTTATGAAGAAAATCTTTATTCTGTTTGTCCCGCTCTGTTGTCTGAATCTTTTGTTTTGCATGTATTGATCGGCTGGCTGAATGCAATGTTTGCAGAAAGTTAGGAAGGAGCTAAAAAAAACCCCCAAGATTGAAGATTTATCATGATTGCTGTTCCAACTGGCATTTTTGCAGAGTTGAAATCTTGTCATGCATTGATGCTGCCAAATGTATGGTTGCATCAGAGTTTCCATTATCAGCCCCCTGTTTACAAGGAGTTATAAATCAGATAGGAGCATTCCCTTTGGGCTGGGAACTTGGTATATAGGTTCTCAGCCTGGAAGCAATAAATAGATTTTATTCAGTTTACCTGGGCGTCCCATATTCTTTTCTTCCTCTCCATTTTCCCCTTGATT